ATATTGAAATGAAATTTGTTATAGCACTTAAATTTAAAGTGTTACTTTGAAAAGATTTAAAAAAAAAAATGTATTGAATTTCAAAATTAAATTTTAAAATTTAAACTACAAACAATTCATTTATGTGCTAATAAAAGTTTTTTCTCTCTCTCTCTCTCTCTCTCTCTCTCTCTCTCCTTTTCATCATAATTCTATTTTCAACTTATCAAATTTACTTCATTGATTTAACAGTCAAAAAGAGAATAAAATTTTTTTTTCATTTTAATTTGACGTCATTAAATAACTCAAATTGCTTTTTCTTTCCTTTCTAAATCTTTTGAAAAGTAAAAAATTATTATTTTCTTTCTTTTTTTTTAAACTTTTTTTTTTTTTTTTTAAAAAATAACTTTTTAAAATTAGCAGCAAACAATCATTTTTATATCTTTTATTTTTTTTTTTAAATAATTGATCATTTCCTAAATTCTTTTGTGTTACTTTTAAATTTCATTTATTTATTGAATTTGCACTCATTTTACTCTTTACTTTACTTTACTTTACTTTGCATTACTCTATTTACATTCAATCAAAACATTTATTCAAGAACAGCAATTCTTATTTCACTTTTAATAAGCTTTTTTTTCGCTGTTTAAACTGTCACAGCAAAAATCAGTTACACTTCTTTTCTAAATAAAATTTTATAAATCGTTTTTTTTTTTTTTTTGTTTATAAAAAAAAAGAAATATTTTTGACAGACAATAAAATTTTGTTTATTAATTATAAATGATAAAATGATTTAAGTAGTAGAAATGATAAATAGCAGAAATTTATTAGCATTGAAAATACAATTATTATTGATAATTCGATGGAAATGAAAAGAAAATTTTTTAAAAATGAAAAATGAAAAATAAAAATAAATTTTGGATGGAATAAGTGAAAATAACTTTTGCCTTAATTTATTTTACTTTATTTTACTCTATTTTACACTTAATCAAATCATTCTTTCAAAGAAAAGAAGAAAGAGAGAGGGAGAGAGAGAGAGAGGTAGAAATCCCGAATTTGATTTCTTATCAGTAAGATTAACCGGTTGCTTAATTAACAGGAATTATGTATATGTAACAGTTCAGTAATTTATTATACTTATAACATTCCCGAAATTTAGCTAAAAAAAAATGCATATCTGTTATCCGTTTACATTGTTATCAGGAAATTCATTCCATTATGGTACATATGAATTAACTTATTAATCGGATTATAATGATTTATTATTATTATTTCTTCTTATTGCCGGAATAAATATTGGAATCCGGAATTTTTCGATATTTTTTGCATTTATTTCAATAAATGCGAAAAAAAAATCAAAAATTAAAAAAAAAAAGGAAGAAAAAACGAGAAAAAAAAATAAAATTAAAATCGCAACTTGTATAAATTATATTAAATATAGCCAAAACTGAAATGAATTATTAAATTATATTTAGCAAATTTTAGATTAAATTATTATTTCAGAAATAAAATGTTTTGCTTGTAATTAAAAACTTTTTTTTTTTTAAAAAAAAAAGAGTTTAAAAATAAGTATAAAAAGTATTAGTGCTAAATTATTAAGCTAATTATCATATCATATTTTATCACTTAAATTCTATTTATTAGAAATTTGAGTGCTTATTTTAATCAAATTTAATTCAAAAGCATTAAAATAATTTCTTATCATACGATATTAAAATAAATTGAGCAAACGACAAATGCGCACATTATCAATGCATTTTTAAAAACAAAGACATTTCAATCTTTTCAATTCATTTTTTCTTTTTTTTTTTCTTTTTTTCTTGCAAAAATTCAATTATCATAAAGCTTCTTTCTCTCTTTACAATATATTATCTAATTTTTTAAAATTTATCTCATAGATAAAATGAAATAAATTGAATACAACAATTACTGATAATAAACTGTGACATTAGCGCATTTTTAAACCAATTTTTATGATTGTTTTATTATTATTTTCTTTTTTTTTTTTTAATGTTTATTTTTTCCACTTAAAAATTGCAAAAAACAAGATGAAAAAATTAACCAAATTATTTGAAAATTTTCTTAAATCAAAAATAGCACATTTTTTTTTTTTTATTTGCTACAATGAATAATTTCAAAGTAAAATCAATGATCGTTTTAAAATTTTCTTTTGAATTGAAATAATTTTTTTTTTTTTTAAATTTGGAATGATTTTCTTCTTTTTTTTTTTTTTACTATTTTATTTTGTTTGCAAACATTTTATTTACTTTTGTATAATATTTAGTAAATTTTTGATTATTATTCTGTTTTGCTTTTTTCTTTTTACAGTAATAAAATTGAATAAAATTAAAATATAAATATTCATTAAATGCACTTTTAGAATATTTTGTTAGCTTTTCTAGCCAATAGGCAATAGTTTTTGTCTAATTAACACTGATTTAATTTTTCTTTTTTTTTTTTTTTTTTTTTCATAAAATTCAATTTTGATAATCTAAAAATTATTCGCTACAATTATTCGATGTGGAAAAATATTAATACTTTTTTATATTTTATATATGTGTATGTGCATGAGAAAGAATTTTTAAAAGAGATACATTTAAATTTAAAAGAATTTAAAAGATTGTAATTTTTTGCGGTAAATAATTAAAATATTTTATTTTGTTTATTGTAAAAAATACACTAAACAATTATTATTTTATCCTAAAATTAAATTTATTATTGCTTAGTTTAGCAAATTATTACAATGTAACATTTAATATTGGTAATTAATTAATTGAGAAAAATTTAACTTTTTTTTTGAATTTTTGTTTTTTTTTTTTTTTTTTAAACTTTTATCTTTTTAACAATTCACTTTTCTCTTTCGCTTCTTCTTCTTCAATTTGCCAATCAAATACTGTGCAATGCTTCAATTTTTTTTTATTGAAATTTTTGCAGATTCGTTTTTTTTTTTTTTTTTTTTTTGTTTTCAATTTTTTTTTTTTCAATTTTTTTTTTTTTTTTTTTTTTTTTTTTTGCATTTTCAATTTTATTCAGTCATTAAAATTATTGAATGAAAAAAAGCGCAAAATATATCACACGCATATGTTATTAAGAATTTAGAAAAATGAATGAATAAATATAATTGAAAAAAAAAGTATGAAATAATTTAAAAAGTAAAGTTATAATATATTAAATAATAATACACGAAAACGATGAAAAGAAAAATTTTTTTTTTTTAGGAAAAAAAAATTAAATTTTAAAGCAAATTTTAATAAATTATTTGGAAAAAAAAACAAATTCCATTAGGATTTTTTGAAATGTTTAAAATTATTATTTTAAAATAATATGCAAATACAATAAAATTTAGATATTTTTTCAATTTTTTTTTTTTTTTTTTTAAAGAAATTATTACATTAAATCAAATTTATTTTATAGCTAAAGAGAAAACAAAAATTTTAAATGATAAATAAACATTTGAATACCAAATGATAATCAATAGTTATCAGTTATTGTTTAGAAGACAAATGAAATTTTATATGCTTTGAAAAATTAATTTTTCATTTGTCAATAATTTATTCATAATAATTTACATACATATATTTTTTTTTTTTTTTTTTAAAAACTGATTTATGTTAGAATTATTTAAAGTAAAATATGCTATTTGTTACATATTTAATTTTTATATTTATTGCTTATAACTTATGCAATTTTTCAAAAAATCTTTTTTTTAAATTTTTGAAATGATGAATAATAATACTTTACTATTGTTTGTTTAACCAAGAATTATTACTCACTTGCGGGATACTTAACAGAAAATTTTCATTCTAAAATATGAAAAATTTATGATTTAGGATGAATGAATTCGAAAATATTTTTTTTTTTTTTTTTTATTTTTTAAACTTCAAAAAATTTATTTCAATAAAGTAAAAGGAACAAAAAAAAAAAGATTTTTTTATAAGCAATCTAAAAGAATACTATATGAATAATATTTATTCACTCAAATATATTCATTTGTTTAAAGATGACAAATATGTAAATTTAAAATTTTTTAAATAAACAATTTTTCTGGTTTAATTTTTAAAAATACTATTATCTGTCTTCACTTTCATCAATAATTTTTGTTTGCAAATTCATCAATAGCAAACTTTTTTTATTTTATTTTATTTTACTAATACTAATTTCCTTTCTTTGCAAATTATTAATTAATATGTTTGTTAGATGAATGATATTTCAAATTATTTCTAACATTCTCGGATGCTACACATTTTGAATTATACTAAATTACATTTCTTTCTTTCTTTCTCTTTTTTTTTTAGTTTAAAAAAGTGAAAAAGAGGAAAAAGTAAAATGAAATGAAGTGAAAAATGTCCGACAAATTGAATATAACTTAATTAAGTAATAGTAAAGGAAAGAAATGAAAGTAAAAAGGAAAAGAAAAAAAAAAAAACGAAAAACGAATTTTTTTTTTTTTTTATTTATGAAATATACAATTTTAATTTGAGAAAATTATATTGTTTTTTCTTTCTTTATTCAAAAAATTTAAAAAGATTAAAATATGTATTATTGTATATAATTTTATTTCAGATTACAATTGCATATTTCAATTTGTTTCTTTTTGCTTTATCATCATTAAAAAAAAAAAAAAAAAAATGAAATCAAATTTTGGACAATTTAATTTGATTTATATTTAATCTAATTTGATTTAATCTAATTTAATCCAATTGTATTAGTATTATTTTGTTTATTGTTAAACGAATGAAAATAACTGTCATTTATTATTATTATTATTATTATTATTATTATTATTATTATTATTATTATTATTATTATTATTATTTGTTATTATCATTATAATCATCGTTGTTATTACCATTATAACCATCGTTGTTATTATCATTATAATCATCGTCATCACTATTATCATCATTATTAACTACTGCTAAGGCAATAAATAAATAAGTGCCACTTATATAAGACAAAATAAACAAGCAAAAGCAATCAAATCAAGCAAATACGATCAAACTTCAACTAATATTCCAAAATTAATGAAAACTTAGTAAGCTAGTAGTAGTAGCAGTGATAGTAGTGGTAGTAGCGGTAGTAGTGGTAGCAGTGGTAGCATTGGTAGCAGCGGTAGCATTGGTAGCAGCAGCAGCAGCAGCAGCAGCAGCAGTTCTTCTAACTTCATTCTTGCTATTTTCATTTACTTCAGGACATAATTTCGGGAGGAAATTCAGCGCATTCTTCTTTTCTTCACTTCTCCTTCTCCTTCTCCTTTTCCTTCTTCTTCTTCTTCTCATTCCTCTTTAATTGCTCAATTCTTTTGCTTAGACAAAAATTTTTATACTTTTAAATCTCCTCTTTCATTCATTCTTTCTTTCATCTTTACTACTTTATTTCACTTACTTATTTCTCCTCTTTTTTTTTTTTTTTATCTTCCATTATTATATTTAACTTTTTCTTAACTTGTTTAAATCGACTATAAAAAAGCCTATCTATGGCTTCTTTTATTCCCCTTGAGAAATAATAATACTTAACATGTATTCTGGCTACAAATTTTTAGTTTAAAATTTAACATTTAAGGTTTTATTTACAAACTTATGCGTTCAACAGAAGTTGTTCAATTGCTAAAACAACAACAACAACAACAACAACAACAACAACAACAGCAACGTCAACAACGACAACAACAACAACAACAACAACAAAAGCAACAGTATAATTCTTGTTTTCCAACATGTAAAATACCAGATAAACGTGATTTCATGGATTCAAATCCACCACGTACAACTGATGATTTCTATCGTTATTATGATCCATGGATTGGTATTGGAACAGCAATTATTCTAGCTTTATTCTTTATTCTAATTGCATTTAAAACATTTATGACATGGCTTCTACGAAGGATCACAATTTGGCGTTATCAATATCAAAAATATCGTGGAAAGCAACAAAAATTGAATAATAATCATTTGATTAATCATCATCATACCACTGAAACAACAATTACCACTGAAATTGTTGATAATGGACATATTATTATTAGCTAATAATGTATTTATTATTATTATTATTACTATTATTTTTTTAAGCAATTGAAATGATAAATTGCAAGCAGAAAAAAGAAAAAAATTTTTGTTTTATATGTTCGAGCAGAATTGAATTAATTCGATGACAACTAAAAAAGTTTGTTGCTGCTGGATTGGAAACAATTTAATTCAATTTTCAAGTTTCGTTTTTTTTTTTTTTTTTTTTTTTTTTCTTTCATTCTTCCTCTTTTTTTTTTTAATTCATTGATAAAACTAAAATTTAGATTTTACCAGCTAGCATCATATATTTTTAATGATTTTGCTGACAGTACTTAATTATCACTAATTATTGATATTATCAGCAAAGTGTATGATTATAAATAAGATTTTGATATGATATTTGATTAATGGAATTATATAATTTGCTTCAATGATACTTCCAATTATTATATTCTTCCAAATATTCTAATAAAATTGTATAATTTTGCATTATAATTTGCTCAAGAAGTTAGCATAGATTGGATCAGTTTATCAATTAATTAATTACTTTTGTATTCATTACTAATTATTCATATGAAATTATTTGTATTATTGGAGAATAAACAAAAGAAACAGGTGAGAAAGTAATTTATTTGCTTTACTAATTAATTTATATCATTTAGGTGTATTTGTCAGAAAGATTTGTAAAAATTTTTTTCTTTTTTTGTTTTTCTACAATTTTATACATTTTTCATCCTTTCTTTGATCCTTTTATTTAATTAGCTAATTAATAGAATGAAATAAAATTACTTCATAACAAATAGTAAGTAAACAAAAATATTTTTATGACTTGTACACGTATTTCACTCTAAAACTTCTAGTTAATATAATATAATTACCAATGCTAATAATAATAATTATTATTATTATGAAAATTATGATAATAATTATTATTATTACTAACTATAGTAGCAATTAGATCAATTAATTTCAACAAGTCAATATTCAAAGATCAAAGAGAAAAAAGAAATTACCATTGATTAATTGGAAAATTTTATTTGATCTAAATCATTTTTTTTTTTTTTGACGATCCATTTTCTGTTTATTTTGTTAATTAATTGTTAGACTTAATATATGGCAAACTCTAATAATACTTAATTGAATTCCTTTGTTTATATTTATATTGAATTAAATTTTGTTTATAATAAATAAATAAATTATGTGTTTTACGCTAATATATTTAACATTAAAAATTTGGTATAATTAATCATTTGATTACAGATAGAATGATGAATTATTTGCTGTTAAATGTAATTAATAAACAAGTTACATCGTTTCACCTAGTTATCAATGATAACAAATAAACATTTTTTGAATTACGAAAAACTTCAAAATAATCAAACATACCAAATCCATCATTTTCAATTTCTCCTCTCAGTATGTTTGATTGATTATCAACGTTTTTAAAATTACGTTGAAAGTTTTTTTTCATGTTTTTTTTTTTTTTCTTTTTTGTTCATTCACATAAATTCAATGATCATTTAGTAAAATTGTAAACTTTCAAATGCTTTAAAAAAAAAAAAAAATAATATAAATAATTAAAATTATGATAAATGTAAAGAGAAATCATAAATTTATATTTTATACTCTTATCAACAAAATTAAGTATTAAACTCCTGTAACAATCCTATAAAGATTTTTTATTTCCCATAAAGTCTTGTAAAAATTACACTCCTGCCAGGGACATTTGTGTTAAAAGATTTGTCAATGATTGAAATTGAAAAAGAAAAGAAAAATTATCATTTGAAAATGATTGATAAAATGTCATAACTGTTTATCAAGAAGAAAATATATATGCAATGCATCAGAGAATATTTCGTGAATATAACGATTATGAATTGATAATGTTTTTTTTTTTTGCTAAAATAACTTTTAGTTTTAATATTAAAATTGCTGCTAGCATATTTTTTAATGCTTATTTATGGTATATTTTTTTATGTTTATCTTTGAAAAAAAAAAACAAAAGCTATCATGCTATCATTCTCTTTCACTTATTGTCAATAATTTCAAGCTAAATAATGATTCTTTTTTGAATAACAATCTGTACAATTTTTCATTTTTAAAAGCATTTGTTTATGTGATCTTAAAATGATGCATTTAAAATGATACACTGATGAAAATGAAACCATAACATATGGGATGATAGCTAACTGATAAACTGCAAGAATAACATAAATCAAAACGAATTCAAAAGAATCACAGATAAGTGAATACAAAATATAGATCAGAAAAGATAAAACCACAAAATACGTACAATAATTTTCGAAAAAATACGAAAAAAAAAAAGAAAGCTGAAACTTTATCAAATTTACCAAATTTAGATTATTCCTATAATTATGAACATGATTTTTTTTAATAAATATAATATCATATTCATTTGTTTGACTCTTCGTTTTTTTTTTTTTTTGTTGTTGTTGTTATAGTCGAAGATGAAGATTTAAACTGACACTGTTCATATCTCAACAAATGTAAATAAAAAAAAATATTACAGTGTTACCTAAAAAAAAAAAAAAGAAAAAGAAAAAAAGAAAAAGAATTTTTTACAAGATAAAATCTCACAATTATTAAAGTGCTACGAAATTTCTATTCATACGATTAAAGATTTAAAAAGTTAAATAACATTTTATAATAATAATAATAATAATAATAATTTATAATGGTTCCAAATCAACATGTTTAACATCCGGATGCTTCTTCCTGATCATCTCTTCAATACGATCCACTTCATCAGCTATACGATTAACAATATGCTCACCATGATGTAACATAAAGCGTCGTAATCCTTCCTCATCTTTAATTTTCTTTGCTTCCTGAATCAGATTTATCAAATCAATTCATATTCATTAATTTGATAATTGTTCATTATATTTGTTTACTTCACATTGTATGATAAATATTCAATGAATTGTAAAATAGAAAATTAGAGAGTAAAACTATAATGTTTATTTATATATTTATAGAAAAGCATTATAAAGTGGTAAAATTGTAATGTTCAGAATAAAATTTTGAACAATTTCAAGAAGATTTTGGAAAAAATAAATAAATCAAAGTTAAAATATTTCCTTATCAAACGAATATATTACTATAATTTTCAGTAAAAGTGCAAGATAGTATGAGGTAGAATTCAAACAATGATGAAAATAGAATGAATCAACTTTTTTTTTTTTTTTACAATATATGACTGTTTTGTTTGAGAACGTAATTACCGAAATAATAATTTTTCGAAATAAAAATTTAACAAAAAATTACAAAAATTACTCAATTTCTTGTTTGTTTCGGCATCATTCATTAATATTTTATATGTCTGTGTAACAATCAATCACAACAGCCACTCACCGTATTAAAAATAATTAAAATATCTAAACTTAATGCACTGGAAATACAATTATGTTTGCTAATTTTTCATATTTTCCAGTGCTTTATTTTTTTTTTCTTTGAGAAGAAAAAGGTGAAACTGATTGAAAGAAATTAGGAGAAGACAACAAAAATTATAAAAACGACAAAAAAAAAAAAAAAAAAAAATGGAAGTAAAGAGTTACTAGTATAAAATAAAATTAACTATATTATTTCTCATAATACTCACAAAGCTTATCAATTAAAATTATCTTCAACAGCGAATATATCAGTAAATATTGCCTCGTAAGCAACATCTGATTAAACAAATAATCAATGTTTCAATAAATTTCGATAAAATCTTCCGAAAATGTGTTTCGGAGAAAAAATCAGTAAATTTCAATACAATGTATCTTTTTTTTTTTTTTTTTTTTTTTTTTCAGTTTAAGATTTTTCATTTTTTCTTTTACATAGAATTGGAAAAGAAAGAGAAGAAAAAGAAGACTTAAGAAAGTACATTTGTAAACTAGTTTTCAATTTTGATGAAAAAAAAGAACAATATATTTTTGTGCTTATATAGCTTTTAAACAAAAATTACAGCGGCATCTCAAAATTTGTTTAGAAAAGAACCGTTAAAAAAATTAATAGAAAAAGTCCTTTGAAGAGGAGCTACTTTAGCAAGTGTGTTAATAACCAAAAAAAAGAAAAAAAAAAGTGAAGTCGTATCTATAAATCCAAGTTTTTCATTTGTTTATCAATTGATGTTAGTGCATAGTTTGAAACACAAACTAATGCAATTTAAGACAATTTTATAATGTTGTTTGCTTGTGCACTCACACTAACATAATGCATTCAACTATGCTCAATAAAATCTCATCTTGCAATCCTTTGTTAAAATT